GGACAGAATCGTATTCCCCAGTCATGTACACATGGAAGCCTTCACCCTTTGGTGTGACTATGTGGGCAGATCCTCAAATGCTGCTAGTTTCACTCGTGTTGTTTTATGTAATGATGAGTGGGGAATACTTCATGTGGCATTTGTATATGTCTGCATGGGTTTTCTCCCTCGGTCTTGGGTTCATTCCCATAGCCAAAGATGGATGCACAATTCAGTGATCTGTCAGAATTGTTTCTGTCATATATAGTGAGAGGGGTGTGGGATGGGTGCACGTGGAATACCGGGTGACCTGCCCACAGTTGGCTCCGGCTTTGTACCCTGAGCTCTGAGGAGAGGCTCCAGGCCTCCTGCCATCCTGAACTAGATACTAACACAATGTAATATAAATGAGTATACAGATGGCTATTTGACATTGAAAATGTTTTTAGGTTTTTATTCAGATGTTTTTGTGACCAAACATGCTCCAAACTTTAAGTCTTATTTCTGTCAATTGGCTGATGGTAAAATCGGTTTGGTATAGATTGTTTTTCCTAAATCACAGTTTTCATGAAACTTTAGGGAGCTCCTAGTGAGGGTGTAATATACTTTTTGTTGTTGTTGCTTGTTTTCCTTCTGATATACACCTGGCTTTGGGGATATATAAACTACTTCATAGTGTTAGCTCTCCTTTATTGGACTCTCTGTATATCCAGTATAAGTAAATATCGCTCAAAGTTCATGGGGTCATTTTCTCTCCATTTCACTGTTGAAGCAGTTACAGGTTGGAGAGTTTAAGATACATTTTCGGACCAGAATGTGTGTGGTCAGGCTTAGAGTCAAGCTGTCTGGCTTCCTGTATACTTGTGTTTTGTTATTAAAATCTTCTACTTCTTCCTCAGTACAATTTGGGTACAACTATATCAGAATTTTCAAATAACCTGTCCGAGGGTGGAGGTTTTTAGATGCTTTTTTCCCCCAACAATTGGCTATAATAAGTGACTTATTTGGGGCTGAGCAATAGGGAAATTTTATACTAAAAAGGGAGATATCTCTTCTATTCTCCGTTATTTGAAGACAGTTCATTGAACGCATTCTGTGTGAACCATTAGGGCAAGGTCGGACTGTCCCAGCAGCACGTCCACTCCCAGTGATCAGACAGTGTCTCCTTGTTCCCCAGTGAACTCTGACAGGTTGTAAGAATACATAGCCTACAATGCCAACTGCTGCCCAACCATTTCAGTGCAAATCATCTTTGTTCTGAAGTCTTTTTCTTAAGTTATCCACTAGATGGCAGCAGACCTGAGTCAAACAGAGTGGCTCTTCCTGCTTGAGAGGGAACTGTTTTGATTTGGAGGAAATAATAATGTACCCCCCCCCCTTTTTTTTTTGGATGTGTAGGAACTAGTGTTCTCTTCATGTTGTGAAAGATGTAGCACATCTTTGCAAGTGATATTGGTGCACAGATTCCAAAATTATAGGTAATGCAAGAAACAAAATGTTTGTTGTATTCTTGTTGAAAAACACCTTGGTGAGGAACAATTTTCTGCCGGAAAAGGTTTCTAGTCCTGGAAAGAATATTATCTATTAATGAAAAAATTGAATATGAATATCATATAAAGTTATACCACCTCAGGCTAGATAATGGAATGATACCTAACTTGAGAAAACTAGCTTGGGATGATTGTCAATTTTTCTAGGTGACCGTCCTTCTTGTCACATACCTAAAAACCTCTTTATTGTTTCCCACACTCTAAGTTTGAATGTTGTATAAACTTTTTTGCCACCCATTTTTAAACTTTAAAACCCCACGAACCACTTTTTTCTTTCTTATCTTCCAGAAGTAAAAGCATTAGGCAACAGTGGGGGGATAGACCACTTAACTTGTATGCAGCCAGCACGGATTCAAGCACTTGTACCTCATCTGATCCCCTGAGCCTGCCAGGAATGATTCCTGAGCACAGAGAGCCAGGAGTAAACCCTGAGAATTGCCAGCTGTGGCCCAAAAAATTCCCCTGCCTCCCTCTGCCCCAAATGGGAAGTAATGAAATAATAGCAAGGGAAAAAGAGACAGCAAGTATTCTACAAAACAATGTTTATCAGATACAACGATAAAATAACTGTTATTTCTCAATTGATGTGAGAAGAGCAGCTATTGAAAATACAGCACCACCATCAGTGAGCAGACACTATGTTCTATAGGAAAGTTGTACGAATTCAACTTAGAATACATTTTGGATATTCAGTGGAAAATTTTGCAGCCTGTCAAATATGGTTCCAGAGATAGATATCATTATGTTATGAGTACTTAGTACATTCAAGTAACATGCTGAGTTTGTGAAGATAAAGTTTTAGTAGTTTTTACTAAGGACAGAGATCACTCAGCTTTTTCTATAAAGGGTCAAACAGTAACTATTTTAATCATTGCAAACCACATATGATCTCTTGATTATCTTTTTCTTTGTTTTCCTTCTGCAAGAAACCACCCCAACCCCCACCTTCCTCCTTTGCCTCCCACCCCCCACACACACACACAAACACCACCACCACCACCACACAAACAGGTCATCGTTTCTGTTTCTGCTGGCTTTGTGATAAGAAGATGATGCTAGTCAACTATAAACCAGTGTCTCTGAAAACTTTCAGTAATGCCTAAAGAAAGGACCAGAGTTGATTCATTTCTCAGCACCAGTTTTAGCTGGGTCAAAGGGAAGGTGCTTATGGCACACCGTAGCTATAAACCCACAATTATTGCTTAAAACATCTAAACATCTCAGTAACAGAACTTTAAATTACTCTTCCAACTATCCCACATTTTAGGGAGGGTCTTCCAAAGGGTGCTTGGGAGGCAGTGGGGTCCTGGCCCAAGGAGGCAGTGTTGCTCTTTTCTCTCAGAGCCAGGGATTATCTGGACCACCCTGTGATGCTCAGGGCCTCCAGGACTGTGCCTGATGGTTTTAGGGGATGACCATGTGCTGCTGGGGATCTAACCAGGGTGGACATGCAAAAACGTGCACCTTAAACCCTGTACTCTCTCTGGCCCTGCCTTCCATTTTTTTCCCCCTCATAAAAGTTAGTCAGGTTTCCCTGCTGTACGTTAGTATTTAATCTAGTTATGAAGATTTTTTAAAAGGAAAGAACCCTCTGGATCTGAGATAAGTGGCTTCCTCTATCCTGTCCTGTAGAGACCTGTGTTACCTTTTTTTCCCTTATTGACATTAAAAAAATAAAAGCTTTCAGTTCTTACAAGGCTGTCCAAGAAAGTCTGTTGAGGTCAAGAAGGAAAATATATAAGTAATTGTGATTTTAAAACAGCAAGCAAAACCTCTTTACACAACAGAAGAAAAATCTACTGTAAAAAACCCAAAAACTATTTCTTTGAAACTGTTTAAATGGTTAACAGTTGCTCTATTCTGTATGATTCCTCTCTAGTTCTACAAAATATTTTTCAGTCTTCACTTTAAAGCACTGCTTATTACATCATCCTTAGTGAACAAAAGTGCTCCTGTATTTTGGAATGCAGTCATTCTCATGATCCTATAAATTAACCTCTCATTTTAAATAAAAAGAATGGGTGGGTTAGGTCATTTTTCTCTAGTTCTTGGAAGTACTTTATTTTGAAATGTTCTTTACTTAATTCTTTACATAGATTGGTAGTTCACTCCTACTTGGCATTTCATTTGTGCATGTATGTTCACAAAGTTGTAGGAACTTGTGTGTGCGCTCTTGTGTGTGTGTGTGTGTGTGTGTGTGTGTTTTAATTGCAGTTATTATTGTCTTCTAAATTATGGCTTTACCATAAATTTTAAACCTATACCTTTTCATTTCAAATATTTTCAACCTACAAAAAAGTAAGTGTATTGAAAATTATGTTATATGTACTTTATGTGAATTGACACTTTCATTTAATCTCTCCCTCTTTCCAAGTTTAAATTCAAGTTTCTCCAATTATTTCCACAGTATTTTTAAAAATTCTATTATTTTTTGATTCAGAGCCCAGTCAGAAATTCTACATGACTTTTTGTGGTTTTATTACTCTGGGTGTTCTAGTTCCTTAGTTAAAAAAATCTGGACCAGAGCTGAGTGTAAAATTTGCTTTACACTCAGCTGACCTGAATTGGATTCCCGGTACCCACGTGGTCCCCTGAGCTCGCCAGGAGTGATCCCTGAGTGCAGAGCAGGAGTAAGCCCTGAACACTGAAAGGTGTGGTTCAAAAACCAAGAAACAACAAGGAAAGAAAAATGAAAAGAATATCTCCAAAACCTTCATCTTCACTGTCCCCCTCCATGTAACAGTGACTTTTTTTTTTAAAAAAAGGACACTTGTTCACTTGTTTTATAGATTATGACATAATCTGAATTGTTCTGATTTCTTTCTCACAGATTCATATTAAACATTTTTGAAAGAAAAATTCTGGGTTATGAGGTGCCATTCTTACGGCATTATGTCAGCAGCTTTATAATATAATTTGTTCTTTGGAGGTGCTAAAGTTGATCACTTGTTTTAAACAATGAATTTTTCTGTGACAGATTAATTCATAAATCATACCTCTGTGTGTTAGTAACTTGAGTTTATATGATCATTCTTTGATTTTAGTTTCTTATAATCCTTATATAACAAAGTTATTACATATATTAATTCAAAAATGATTTTTCTCATTCTATTATCTTTATTAAATTATAACCTAGTCACTTTATGTTTCATCAAATTATTGTTTACAATGATTCATACAGTTTTTATGCCAGGAGAAATGAATGAAAGCCCACTTACCATTGTATTAACTGTTATGATGTGATAGGAAAGAAGATATTTTTTAATCATAGCTGCTAACTCATTTACTCATTAATATTAAATGCAGTTTTACTCATTTTACTCTCCATCTACTTTCCTTTTGAAAATGAATGTATTGACACTAGATTTAAATAATATTTTTCTTTTTCTTCAAGTTTTTTTAATCTCTTTTTATAAATGTTAGTTTTTTTTAACCTTGACATTTTTAACATTCATTTACTTATTATTATAGCTGTGGAAATACAGAGGGCTTTGAATCAACTTGGAACACCTCAAGATTCACCTGAACTAAGGCAACAGCTGTAAGTATTTCTTTTTAAAGGAAGGGAGGAAAGAGAGGGAGTAAGGCTATTATTATGTTTCTTTGATAATTTTATTTACTCGAGAAACAGTGGTAGTTTTTTTTTTCCTTCCTTTATTTGAATTACAGTTTCATGTAGATATTTTCTATCAGTGAAGGGAAGCGGCTTCTTAATTTATTTGAAAGATTGGCTTACTTTTTCAAGGTAGTATTTTTTTAGTTGCATTCTTATGTTTTCTAAACAGGGTTGTATTTTTAACGATTTTTAAAAAGTGGTACTTCTTTCTTTGTGGCGTGCTTCTCACTGCTAAAAATCCTTACAACATCCAAGTTCTATTTGGAATATCTCAAATGTCATGCATCCATCCTTAGATTTCTAAAAGCATTAAACTGTATTTTGAAGAAAAAGTTAAATGAAGTTATTAATAATGCATTTTAAGTAATGTTGATTAAAAAATAGTAGTATTTTGTGGTGTAACAGACTTTACAAAGTGTTTTTGCACATTTTATCACCTAAGCTTACAAAATTGGAGTGAGATAAATTGTGGATCAAAGGAACTAGTTCTGTATTTGCTTGGAAATCTGATGATTTGCCCAATATTGTTCCAAACCAGAACCTGAATTACATTCTGTGACATAAATCTTAAATAATACATATTATTTTAACAGGTCTTAAATTTGACCAATACATGTTTAAAATGAGTGCTTAATACATGTTTAAAATGAGTAAAACAATACATGTTTAAAATGAGTTAAAACGGGTCTTAAATTTGACCAATACATGTTTAAATGAGTTTAAAATATGTGAGAGGTACTAATCTTGTAGTTTGTAGATCATCACAATCCAAGCTTGTTTTTTAGTGTCACATTCTTTAACTAGGTATATTACTTTTTTTACATTCTAAGCTAACTAACAAGATAGTTATAGATACCAGTATAATTTATTCCTTTTTTTGTTTGTTTGTTTCCTTTGGAGATATTCTGTTACTCACTAGCAAATTTATCAGTAAAAGTGTACTGTAACTCATTACCTCTCCTCTCTTTTCTTAAAAAATATATAAGATAAAAATGTGTAAGTAGAGAGTAGGACAGACCCAGTGTAACCTCAACCTGAGAACTGGCAATTTATGACAACAGCCCCTCTTTATTTAACTTGTTTCTCAACTGGGTTATGAAAATTAAAGAGCTCTTCAAACTTGCAGACATTAAGCTTCCATATTCTGAAACTCGTTTTAAGTCATCTTCCTTTCTAAATCATTGCAATTTTTATTTCATGGGGATCAGTTACCCTGGTCTGAGTAAAGATTTTTCTATGTATATTTGCTTAATGTTTTTCAAAGGATGGAGTCTAAAACCGTAATTTTCACAAAGCCTATTGATTTTTATAGACGGTTATAAAAAAATATGGTTTTTAAAATAAATTTTTCAAAAGAATTGATTCAAGTGACAGAGCTATAACTTAAAGACATATTAGTTTGTGGACTATAATGTGTATTTTCTCAATTCAGGCAGCAGAAGCAGCAGTATACTAACCAACTCGCCAAAGAAACAGATAAGTACATTAAAGAGTTTGGATCTCTGCCCACCACCCCCAGTGAACAGGTACTGCGCTTTTATGTACATTGTTGATTGTATTGAGTATGAAAGGAATCAAATGCATTGTAGGGTCTTTGAAATCTTATGCTGGAGAGGAAATTAGGGGGAAAAGTTCTATTTGAGTTTTGTTCACAAAACACAAAGCTGCATTTAATTACCCAGGTAGTATCCTGTGGTTTAATAAGGTAAAAATTATTTCTGTGCAGTTTTCTCTGGCCCATAATTAAGTAAGTGCTCACAAAGTGCTCCCTGAGTAATTGTTTCCTGGCCTTACAGGATTGACTCAATGCAGTGTACAGTCATTCAAGGTGTGGCTTTCTGAGGAGTGCACATTTATATCTTTATTTAGTGCAAGTTACTACTTAGAAAGAGTTTATGATGTTACTTCCTTTAAAAAAATTTTTGGAACACAAAGAAATACTTCAAACTTGGAGTTCAGTTTTTAAGATGAAAATTTGACCTGAGAAAATCCAGCATTGTGGGCCTTTGGCCTTAAGGTAAATGCACACAGTATTTGAACATATTATCAAAATGTTACTGAGAATTACTCACCAAGGCCCTATATATAATTAGAGAGGAGTACATGAACATTTGAGAATTAAATAAGGAGCCAGGTAGAGGTGAAACTGCTTTTGCAAATTCCATTGCAATTCACAGCTTGATTCTAGTAGGTTTTCCTTCACTTTTTTTTTTTTTTTTTTTAGCGTCAAAGGAAAATACAGAAGGATCGTTTAGTGGCTGAATTCACAACATCACTGACAAACTTTCAGAAGGTCCAGCGACAAGCTGCTGAGAAAGAGAAAGATTTTGTTGCTCGAGTAAGAGCCAGCTCTAGAGTATCTGTAAGTATTTTTAAAAGCACTATGAAAATAAACACAATCTTAAAAGATCATTAGGGTTCCATAAAAGATGTCATTGGCATTTTTTAAAAAATTATTATTAGTGAAACGCCATGACGTATAGTTGTAGACTTACAAAGTTTTGTGCTTGGGTTTCGATTATACAATGATCAAATACCCATCCCTCCACCAGTGCCCGTATCTTTTAAACTTACTTCGACATGTATTTCCAAATGTTTCTGCTAAGTTTCCTTTTCCTTCCCTTGCTGCGGGTCCGAGTAGGGTGTAGTCAGGATTGCATCTGAATCTATAGTCTCAGCACTGACTCTGGGGGCTTCCTAAGTCTCAGACTATTTTTTTCCCCCTAGGTAGTTAAGATCACTTTCATGTGTGCAGGTTGGCCCAGTATTTTCAGTACCAAGTTTGTGTTTGTACTAGGCAAGAGTGTTAGGCAGTTGAGCCATCCTCTAGGTCCCACAGTTCAATATCTTTTTGTTTTGACTTCAGGCCGCATTCATAGGCTTCAGATGCTGCTTCCCAGCATGGTAGGAGAAGACTCCTATTAGTGCTTCGGAGGTCAGGCTCTGCTGGGTGGGTCAAACCCACGTTTCCCTCATGCAAAGCATGTCTCTGCCTGGGGAGCCATCTCTTGCCTCTCATTTTATAAGAAGGACAGTAGTTATGTATTATTGTTTGCTCTTCATGGATCAAAATAGTGTAATGTTACAGACAATACAAAAACAGGTAGTCAGAAAAGATTAAAGTCATACCCTATTCTAAGTAGTTCCATATTTATTTGAATTAAGGATTGCCATTTTGTATTTGAAGCTGATTTAAAGAGTGGGTACTTTACTCCCAAACCATATGAAGATGGTGGAAATGAAGAGAATAAATATGTCTCATAAATACTGAAAATGAATATACACCCAGAAAACATAAGCAAAAGTATTTTCTTTAAAATGGACTTTTTAGTGATTCCAGTTTTAAATTCCCTTAGAAATCATGTATTTCCTGTTTCTAATTGCAGTGATTCAAAAATTTTGTTACATTTTAATCAAATGACTTTACTAACCATTCTTTGACAATAAAGGGTGTCATTTTATTACCTAAAGCAGTTAGCCCAAACATTTGAATAAGCAAGTCTGCCTTTGTCCACATGCATACACATAAACCAGTTAAAAATTATTACAAGACAAAATGCATGTTGTGTGCTTTTTTCTTTGCCCTATAATAGTTCACTCTCTCGCTAATTTATTTAGGGTGGCTTTCCTGATGACAGTTCAAAAGAGCGGAATCTTGTATCCTGGGAAAGGTAAGAAATGTAAAGAATACTAATTGTAAAATTAATTTTTAAGCATACTTTGTGCATTATAGTTCATAGATCAAAAAGCTTTCAGTATAGGGTATTAATTATGGTGATCCTAAGTTTTTAATTTGAAAAAAATATTTATTATGAAGTATAAGATGCATCATTGTATCACTGTCATCCCGTTGTTCATCAATTACCTTGAGCAGGCACCAGTAACGTCTTCTTCGTCCTAGCCCGAGATTTTAGAAAGTACCACATTCGAGGTTCTTTCAGGGTCAGGAGAATCATTGTTACTGGTTTTTGGCATATTGAATATGCCACAGGGAGTTTGCCAGACTCTGCTGTGTGGACAGGATACTTTTGCTAGCCTGCCAGGTTCACCAGAGTAAGAAGTAGATAATAGATAACATTTGCGGCTGCGTGCTTCCGGGAGCTGGGTTTTATTTCAAGTCAGAATAAATATATATTTCATATATATAAATGCCTTACTATAATTTGGTTGATAAAGATTTTTTACTCATATGAGATTTAAGTCAACTAAGAATTAAATGCCCAGTTGCTCGTGTAGCTTAAAATAATAATGAGACAAAGTAATTTTATTGGTATGAAATGTGAATAAAATTTGATTAATATTTCTTTTATTGGGATTTGAGTAAGTGATTCTCTGAGGAGAAATTACATTCAGTCATTTTCCAATGAGGCGATGGTTTCATTAATACCATATTTTTTTTTCCCTATGTACTTTTTTTGTTAGCCAAACTCAATCTCAAGTGCAGGTGCAAGATGAAGAGATTACAGAAGATGACCTCCGTCTTATTCATGAGAGAGAGTCTTCTATTAGACAGCTTGAAGTAAGCTTTATTTCTTAGAGTTGGAGTATGGCTTTGTCCTTAGAGAATTTGTCCTTAAGATGTTTAGACAGTAAGGGATGAGGGATTAAGAAAAATAAATAAATAAATAAATAAGAAGGAAAAAAATGTTCTTTTCAGTGGCGTGTCTCTGATAAATTGGATTTTTAAGATTTTTCTCTTTAATACTCCACAGAATTAATGTTATGATGAAAGAATATACTGCTGCTTTCTTCTCTATCCTTTTTATTTAGATTTTGTTGTCATCTGACTGAGGCCATTGGTCTAGAGAAATACCTTAAAATCACTTCAGTGGTATGCAGTGCATAGCATACCCCCATAAGTAAGAAAACCCCTTAAAGACCTTAAGAGTATTTTTTTCTTCAGTATGTTTATCACATCAAAGAGGGTTTATTAAGCCTTTGTTTTTTTCTTGCCTATTCCCAGCAGATGGGCTAATGATAATGCTAAGTACAATTTATTGGGCTTCATGTTCACGATACTTTGTGATAAATTCTTTATATTAACTGCCTCATTTTAATTCATATAAAAGTGATATGAAGTGGCTAACTATGCTACTATATAGCAGTTTTACACAGAGGGAACTAAGGCACAGGATAACTATGTAAATTGTCCATTGCCAGCATAATAAACTACTTAAACTTTAACCTTTAGCCAAGTAAAATAATTATCAGCTACCATTGCATGTTCAAATGGATCTGTATGAAACTTTAAAGTTATACCTAATATGTCATTCTTTTGGACCGTAACTTTGTATTAGAATCATACAAGCAGAAAGACAATTTTATACCCTTGTGTGGAAATATGGCTTGTGATAGCAAAAGTATCAGATTGAATGACAAACTCATTAAAAGTTGACCTCTGTTATATAGATCTTCATTTCTGTCCTGCTTTTCCTGATACTTTTAACCTCACACCTCACACCTATAGCCTATTTCGGGAAACTTATCACTGTTAGATTGGGTCTGTATACTCAGGATTGCTTATAACAGATTTTTCTAGTGTTTTCAAAACTTAGATATTAAGTCTACAGGCATGCTCACCTTTATATGAATAATAATTGAGTTTGTTTTCCCCTTTTGTGAAATGGGGACTGGGTTTCTGATTATAACTATATGTTTTTTTTCCTCTTAGGCTGATATTATGGATATTAATGAAATATTTAAAGATTTGGGGATGATGATTCATGAGCAAGGAGATGTGATAGGTAAGTCCTTCTGAGTAGATATCATAAGTGCACTGTACCATTGGTAACTTCTCAATTTAAAGTAATTGCTTCTCTCTCCATCTCTCTTTTTTTTTGTTTTGGCGCTACATATAATCCAAAAAGCTCAATCTCTGCAATATCATCCTTGACCCTCTCTGAAACAGATCTCACTTTGGCTACTAATGGTTGAAATGACTATCTTCTTCTACTTCAAAAGTCCTAATTTTAATCAGGCCATCTGTTACTGAGACCATGAGGTGCCGTATAATATCGCTCTAGTTTATAATTTCCTGACCTCTGGTGTCAGTACTATTCCAACTTAATTTTTATCATGCCAGGAACTTTTTCATGTGTTATCTTGTCTTTAAATTAGAATAAGTAGCCATGTGCATGATCATTCAAGTTTCTTTTTATATGCTGCAAAATTCAGATGCTACAAATTCTTCCCAAAATGATTCTTAAAATATTAGTATTTAAAACTCCCTTTAAATGCAGTAGTTCTTCAGCTAAGAACTGAAAATCAAAAGTGTCTGTGATTTTTCTAATGATATGTTTAATATAGTTTACCTTTTAAGTTTGGTTTCTTTATACTGGTGGAGCGATAGCACAGTGGGTAGGGTGTTTGCCTTGCACACGACTGACCCAGGTTTGATTCCTCCGTCCCTCTCGGAGAGCCCGGCAAGCTATTGAGAGTATCCTGTCAACACAGCAGAGCCTAGCAAGCTCCCTGTGGTATATTCGATATGCCAAAAACAGTAACAACAAAGTTTCACAATGGAGACTGGTGCCCGCTTGAGCAAATCGATGAACGACAGGAGGACAGTGCTGCAGTACTTCTTTATACTAAAGTTCATACTAAAGTTTAGTGTAACTATTACTTGACCATTCATACTTTACTTTTGTAGTCCCAGTAGATAATAGGGTAAAAAGAAATGTTTTTAAAACCTATTGATTTATTCTTCCAACAAATCTTTTTTTGAGTGTCAACTATATCCAGGCACAAATGTAGAGACTGGGGATTCAGTTAAAACTAAACAACATACTAAATACTTTTCTTTATTGAATCTTTGATCTAATCTAATTAGGGAAGAGTGAATTCTTTATTTTTTCATTTTTGTTTCCAACTTTTTGTATTGATTGACATTCTCCAATTTTCACTAATGTTAGTGGTGGCTTCCAGTGCACATAATCACATAATTCCAACAACACACCCTGCACTAGTGCACCTCCCACCCTCCCCTAAGGACTCCCTTTAAATTTCCCACCCCACCCCACCCCCATCAGTTAAGTGGATTAGTTCACCTTGCTGGGAATCTTCAAATCCCGCACATCAGAGAGATCATTCCTATCTATCCCTTTGCTTCTGATTGGCTGCACTTGGAAAATTATTTATGAAGAAAGAAAAGTAACTAGTGATAAAGTACTATGAGGAAAATCAGACCTAAGTAGGAAAAGTGGTACTGTTGGGAATATCTTGCTGCTTTTGTGAAGGTAGGTGAAGCATTCATTACTGAGAGCGCCCATTTTGATGAAGACTTCACGAAAGTAAGGGAGCAAGTTTAAGAGCAGTCAGGCAGAAAGACGAGCCAGAATCCTAAGGCAGAAGCATTCCTGGTGGACAAAGTAAGCAGGAGGAAGAAGAGGAGGATGTTAGACGTCATGGTAGCATCATGATTGAACCTATGCCAGTGAAAGGACTTTCATTACCCTTAATGTGAAACCACAGGACGATTGGAATAGGGTATATCATTATCTCCCTTAGGTCTAATGAGGCTCACTGTGACTGCCAGATTGTAAAGGGCTAACACCAAAAGCAAAGAGATACTGAAAAGGATATCGAAGGAAGGCAATTATGTTGCCTTAACGATCAGAAAGAGAGCAGTGAAGTGGTGAGAAATGGTAAAATTCTGTATAATTTTTTAACATAAGAGCAAAAAAAAATTTAATATAAGAGCCAAAATGCTTATACCGGACCTGGGTGTGAGCAAGTTCGTTCAGGGATGGCTTTGTGATTTAACCCAACTTATGAGTATGACAGTGTTTTCTCTAGTTTTCTGAGATGAGGAAATCTGTAAATGGAGCAGGTTTAAACAGAGATAAATCGATATTTTCTGGATAAGCGTGAGGTGACAGTTGATACCCGGTTGAAAGTCTGATAGACATTAATAAAGAGAATGTAGAATTTGGGGGAGGTGTCTGGACTGGTATACACTGGATTTAAATCCAGTAGACAAATGCACACGGGTGATATTTAAAACTATGCACTAAGGTTAAATTACCTAGGAAACGCAAGAGTGGAGAAGAAAAAGGGATTCATGACTTAACTCTGGATCCTCTAAATATTTAAAGCAGAATTGTCAACCTCATCTATTCATTAAATGTCATCTACAGTAGCCTTTGTGAAACATGCATAATTGAATGTGACAAATCGTATGAACCACAAAGCGTAAGATATGTACAGTTTTCATAGACTATTTACCAAAATTACAAGGTAAAGGTAAAGGCCCTCCCGTTGATCGTCGATTTGCTCGAGCGGGCCCAGTAACGTCTCCATTGGAGACTTTGTTGTTACTGTGTCTGGCATATCGAATACTCTCGGTAGCTTGCCGGGCTCTCCGAGAGGGGCGGAGGAATCGAACTCGGGTCGGCCATGTTGGCCGCTTGTAAGGCAAACGCCCTACCCGCTGTGCTATCGCTCCAGCCCCGAAATTATGTTTACAATTTTTTCTAATTTTATTTTTTAAGTCATATGTATTAGTATTTATTTTCCTAAATTTTATTTCATTAAAGCACTATGATTTACAGAGTTATTCATAGTTGACTGCCAAGCTTAACAGTGATTAGAGCACAAGTGACATCTATGAGAGCTGCGTTAGTGATACGGTGTAAGTGAAAGCATAAGAGAGAAAGGAAGGAATGCATAAGAGGGAAAGGGAGGAAAACAGCTGGAGATAGATAGCCAGTGCAGAGCCCTCTCAAGGAGTCAAATGGGAAAGTGAAACAAAGAATGAGGGCAGAGCTGCCCATAGAGATGGACTATGCGAGAAAGTTTGGGGGCGGTTTTTACCATTGCCACTATAGAGGCTGGAGAGATTGTACAGCAGGTAGGGCTCTTGCCTTGCACCTAGTCGGCATGTGTTTGATTCTTGGCTCTTGCTTGGACCAGAGGCATTTCCTTCCTACAGTTGGAGGGAAGTCAGAGCAGAGATACTACTGGACATGATCGGTGAAAGAGATAAGGGAGAGATGGAATTATCTTTTGGTTGTTACTGTTGTGCCAGTGATCGAGAAATCAAGGTTATAGACTAAGTTTGAAAAAGAAGGGAGAATATATGTTATGTTTTTCAAGACCGAGGAAAATAAGATTAACTTGCTGGGCGATCATAAACTTAAAGTGAAATACTCAGCCTAGGATTTTTTGCGTCTGTGTTCAGCTGCATGAGTACATTGAAGGTTTCCTCGTGTATGCCTAAGGAGCGAGGCAAGCTGACAAAGGGCGAATGCAAGAAATGATGATAAATAACTGCTGCTTAAACTATGCTCGATAAGGAGTGAGTCAAAGGCATGAACTGTGAGAGGGACAGTGAGAAACTGATAGGATCGCGAAATTAGGGTTTTAGGTCAGGGGTTGGATATTCAAATAACCAGCTTTTGAGTTGGAGAAGTGGGGGGGGGGGCGGGGGCGGGTGCGGCGGGTGCTGCGCCAGACCACTCTCTGGCCCGCAGAAGGACCGACTAAATGAACACAAGACACAAGAGACAGAGTGCAGTTTAGAAACAGAGAGAAAAAGGGACAGGCTTTATTGAGGGATCACACAATCACAAATCACAAATCATCCTGTTATTCTTCGATTGCCTTGAGCAGGCCCCAGTAACCCTCTTTCATCCTAGCCCTGAGATTATATTCAAGGCTCTTTAGGAGAATGAGACCCATCATTATTACTGGTATTTGGCATATTGGGTACGCCACGGGGAGTTTGCCAGACTCTGCCATGTGGGCAGGCTACATTCGGTAGCCTGCCAGTTTGTCCAAAGTAGGAATGAGATAATAAGATGTCATAAGTTCCGGGAGCTGGTTTTTATAGTCTCTGAGTCTTGGGGGTTGATGGGATTACACGGCGCCAGGGGCCAGTTGGTGGGTGTGATTACACGGCGCCAGGGGGCCAGTTGAGGGATACAGGCTGTTTATATAGGGTCTGGTATAGCCCAGTCACAAGCAGAAGCAATATAACCATACATGGTAAGGTTAGCAACAAGAGTTTTACATAGCATTCAAGGTAAACATTTGTATATCAAAGGGTGTTATGGTAGATGTATCCTGAGCTTTACATTTGTATATCAAAGGGTCCTATGGCAGTAGATGCATCCTGGAGGTCACTATAGATAAGGCCAGATAAGATAACTGTCAGCCTGATGTTATGTGGCTATAGATCAGCATCCACTGACGTCAGGAAGCCATGGGAGACTGTCACCAATGTCTGTCCCAAGCAGTTCCTAACATGGGAACCACGGCCAGGGTCTGTGAGAGGGCTCTTGGCTTCCCACAGAGAAGCATTGAAAAAAAGTAGCAGTGAATTAAAGGCTAACTTAGTCAATGAAGGAGAAAAAAATGAACATGACATTTTTGATATGCTAAAAGTGAAGGTTGGGCAAAATTGATGACTAAGATGACCTTCAAAATAGAGTTTGCAGGTGCAAGGAAGATTCTTTGATCATGCAATTGACAATTGGCTCATCACTGAGCATAATAGGGTTGGAAGGAAATCTGCCATCACCTGCAGAAAAGGCCCATTTTCAGCACAGAAGTAAATTGATGGCCACATTGTAAACAGTGGTTTTTAGTATTTTCCCTGATAGCAACTGTCAGATGCTTGGTACTGACCTGTTCGTTAGTGCATACAAAACAGATTTCTATTTTACTGTCATTACCAGATAGACCAGAAATTGTATTGTAATGCAGAGGATCAAGTTTATTTTCTTTAAATCTGTAAGTTTTGTTTGGATCACCTGGGAAATAGTGTGGGAAAGAATCTTAGCCCACATAATTTTTTTTTAATTTTTCCCATTTACTATTATAGTGGGCTGGAGTGGTAGCACAGCAGTAGGGCATTTGCCTTGCATGTGGTCAACCTGGCAGACCCGAGTTCGATTCCTCCACCCCTCTCAGAGAGCCCAGCAGGCTTCTGAGAGTATCTTGCCTGCACAGCAAAGCCTGGCAAGCTACCCGTGACATATTCGATACGCCAAAACACAGTAACAACAAGTCTCACAATGGGGACTTGTTACTGGGCCCGCTCAAGCAAATCAGTGAACAACCGGAAGGACAGTGCTACAGTGCTACTATTAACGTTAACCTTTTGAATAGTGAATATGCTTAATCTTACCTTCAAGTGAGGTCTCATTATTTTTACAACTTTATTGCCAGAACACCAATACGTGTTTAATGGTTTTGTGTGTTTATGTTTTATTTTAAAGATAGCATAGAAGCCAATGTTGAAAATGCAGAGGTGCATGTCCAGCAAGCAAACCAGCAGCTGTCAAGAGCAGCAGACTATCAGGTAATGATATTCTGAGTGAATTGCGTTAGAACTTAGACTTTCGACTGTTGATAACAGTTGATGCATAGCTATGTATGATTGATCAGAAATATATCTATATAAAACTGGGCTTTGGCTATTTGTCCTCAGAGTCGAACCATTATTATGGCCCATAGAAATAGAAAGTTACGTGTGAAGAGTCCTGAACTAAGCAATAGATTACTCCAGATTTCTCTGTCGGCTGGCAGTCTCTGATATCACTCTGACATTCCCACCCAGATATCTCTGTGATAGTTTTCCCCTGTTTCTCGTTCTGTGTAGCCTTTCCTGCCTTTTTTTGTGCACCATGATACTCTGGACCAAAAAGGCCTTGTATCCTTGTTGTAAGGAGATCTCTTTAAGTCCTGAAGAAATTAGGATAATTTGGACTAACCTTAGCCATTAGTATTCTGTCAGTATTCATGAAAACCCTTCATTAGAAATGAACTGAGTGAGTCAGATCACTATGGAGCCCATATGTATGTTCAGGTGTAAAATACTATACAAGTATTTTGCACTTTAGAACCATAAATTATTAATATAATTTGACAAGTATTGTGTAACATTATTACAAATTATTAATATAAAACAATATTATTACAATATGTAAACCTTTTCTATTCAACAAAGTCCATGAGGAGTTCCTAAATATCATCAGAGCACTTTATTTTAGTTTTAAAACTTTGAAATTGTCTCTAATTACTTTTCATCCTCTTAACCTTCTGATAAAACATCTACCATAGACCACCATTTTTTCAATGGCTTCTCACTTTTATCTAAAATTAAGAAAGTTCTTAAAAATTTAGAAGAAATATTTAAAAGTGCTTTTAGTTTCAATGTCATTTTTACTAAGCAAATCACTTCATAGTGATATGTGGTAAACAGTGATGCTTCTTAGATTCCTGAGTGACAGTCAGTTGTATTTTGTAATATCATAATTCCACCACTGCACATTATGGATGATGATTTATGCAGCACATATACTGTAGTGGAACCATGATTATTCATACACACATTAACATTTGTATTTGTGGTCACCAAATGAGGTCTGGGAAAATACTGCTATGTCAGTATGAAACTTCAGAGAACTTTTGTTTACTATATAAGAAGTACTACTTTGAAAAATTAAATTAATGTGTAAAACGCTCTGATATATGTGTTATTCAAGGTAATGTCACAGAAGCATATAATTTTGTAAATCTTACAATACTTTTGGTTGACATAGTTAATTTATAATATGTATTTTTTTCACTTTGTAAGAAAGAGGATTCCTGCATGTTGCTGTGATATACTCAAGCCATTTAAGAAATAAATCTGCGCTGGGCCAGGGATGAAGATAGAACAGAAGTCTTAATCTTTATACATTAAATGATGATTATGATTATCATCTTTTGTTTGTTGAGATTTTAAATGCACTTTTTATTAGTATTGAAGAATTTTTAAAAACAAATATTTAGGAAAAATTGATGAGCATTTATACTTGCTGATATTTGTAGAAAACTTACTTTGAAAAGCAGTTTTTTAATAAAATGCAATATATGTGACTTAAACTGACCTTTGTTTTATTTATTTATTTTTTATTAAAGCATCATGGTTTTCGGTTATTTATGTCAGTTATTTAAGTCTGGCCAACCACCCAGAAAAATTACTATCAAAAGTTCATTATACCCCAGGTTACATAGTTCAATAAGAATATTTTCTGTAACACTAGCACCATATGCATTGAAGAGATTTTTGAGAAGCAATAATTAGAGCCAGAAGTTTGAGGGCAATAAACATCTATTAATTTTACTCTACCAATGAATCAAATTTTTTTAAGTTGCTATTGAGATGCTCCATTACATCTGTAAACATGTTTTTGTTTTTGCATCTGCAGCGCAAATCCAGGAAAACCCTGTGCATCATCATTTCTATCCTTGTCATTGGAGTTATAATCGTTGGTCTCATCGTATGGAGTTCATTGAAAAGCTAAAATTATGAAGGAATACACTATTGCACTACATTGTCTAAATTAAGTAGGAAGATTCCTGTAATCATTTTTTTAATTATTATTTTAAAGCTATTGTATAAAGAATGGTTTTCAGGTTTTGTTACTTTTATTTGGGGGTGGGATAGGGAAGTTCCTTTGGATTAAATCTATTTTCTAGTACTAAAAGTCTTCCTAAATATCACTGCTGGAATGGTTTCTGTTCTTTTTTATCTTTTATCTACCAGATTTTTTGCCACGTTGTATATGTCTTTCATTTATAATTTATTTATACTATTGACGTCGTTTTGGGAATGAGTCCATTTAAAGGTATGTCACTGAGCTCTTATCATCTAATCACAATGTAACATATATCCAAATTTTGTTACTTCAATTAAAAATTTCTAATTTGATTTGAGCCAGCAGAGGAAATATCCTTAATAACTTAAAGGAAATTAGTCTGTTTATGTGTAAGTGTGTGTTTTTCTAGCTCCCTCCAACCTAAGTATTCTATTTATCTCTTAAAGTTCTTTTTTCTCTTAAGACCCTTGCTTACACTGAATGAAGTCAGTGAATTCTTTTCTAGTATATTTCATACTCCTGATGTGTACATATTAAAGCATTTGGTGTAGACTGCCTAGTAAAACATTAAGGATAGTCTTTAACTAGACTAGATATGCCTGATATTTACTAGGGAGTGTGTAGTAACTATAAAAGTTGAAAAGTTATTTGGCAAGAGTCTGACCAATCGAATTCTATTGTTTCAGAGTCATAAAAATCCAACTTGTTAATTTTCTGTGTATTTGCACAGCTATTATAGGGCAATTCAAAAATCCCACTTGTTAATTCACTGTGTGTTTGCATAGCTACTATGGGGCAATTCCTGGGCAATTCATCACCTTTCTTTACATCCTACAGAAAAATGGTTACATACACACACACACACACACACACACACACACATATCCTTGGTCAAATTTGCTTTTTGGAAGTATTTTTCTCACAATTTTGTTTTTAAGCATCTAATACTTAAAATGTGGTATTTATCTTTCATACTACTTTGTACTGTCCTTCATCAGAAAAATGAACTGGATGTTTGCCAATTAATGCATTTGCCTTTTAAAATCAATACTTTAATGCACTAATGTGAATACTGTTAAGAGGATGAATTTGGTTGAAATGTATTTTATATTATTCTTATATAGCAGTTTGATAGTGAAGGCAGTGTTTTACATGGCAAATTATGAGATTTCAATAGAGAACAAAAAATATTCAGTCACTGAGAAAATTGTTCAGTATCAAAATAAAGATAATCTTACACATTCTGGATAGCTCTGTTCCATGAGAATTCAGCCTCCTTAGGACAGATGCCTGACACTTACCTCACACTTTTGCCGCTGTACTACCTGACATCTCAGCCAGGGGCTAACAGTCACATGGCAGCGATTTTACATCTATGTGGTTTTCTCAAATTTTTTTTTTTATTTTGACTGTCCTGAGACGTTTTGTCACTAACTGGTAGGAGCTGCTTTGCATGGCAGCAAATTTGTTTTTTCCACAACACAAGACTAGAAAAAAAAATTATGGCCTTAGAAACTTTGAACCAGAATCAGACTGCTTTAGTAATAAACAGGATGGATGGTGCAGGAAGGTGAGCTCATCCGGATACTACCTGATCTGAGGTCAGTACGTGTCCATAATGCCTGCTGGAATACCTTCCCTCCTTTTGAGTACACTGTTTGATTTTATAAGTGAGGGTCATGTGGCTATTAAAGTCTCAAGGACTTGCAGTGTATTCAATATTTTTCATGGTTATATTTGATAAAATAATTATCCTCATACAGGTAAACTTATTTACTTCTATTTATTTTCACAGTGCTTTTCCACTAACAACAAAAGCCCTTAATTTGGAGGGCATGATTTTAGCACTTTCAGTTACTGCCTAATAACATATTATTTAAATGGGGATACAAATAACTGATTTAAAGCAGGAACTTTAGTGCCTTGCATTCTTTTAAGGAAAAATAAAAATATATTTGGAGCACCAAAAGTAGTTGATTAGAAAGAAAATAAAATTAAACACGTGAAATAACTAGAATGTTTTAATTCTTAAAAGTTTCCTTTTAGGTTAGTTTAAGGTCATTTTTAAACATGGAGTTTATACTGCAAAATAAAATCAGAATTGTTTCTTGACTGTCTGCATACTCAGATCTGCTTGAGTCAAATTGCATCTCAAATGGAAAGTAGAGCTTAGAAAGTGATGCAATATTGTTCATGTAAGTGTCCTCCAAAGACATGCTTGAATCATAGAGCTTGAGTTAAACTACCCTCTTACGTTAAATGACAGTATAGCATGAAATACTCAACTATTGGCTTGGTCATTAAATAAGAAAATGCTTTGATTATAAACCATGGTAAATGATTAGAGAATGATCCAACTTGTTTTTAGTGGCCATACGACGAGCTTAAATAAATAGATGGTTATTGGCACAGATGACCCCAGGTTAAGAGAGCAAACTGTAAAAGCACAGCCCCCAGAGTCAGACCCTCAGAACATATGCCCAGCAGCAGACTGACAGTATTGCACCCGAAAGACGCCATCAGTGCTCCAGAGAGACATGTCACATTTTACACACACAAGTTTTTGAATGGGTTTTGAATGCCTAAATTTATAGACAAGTTTGTAATGAACAAAAACATGACTTGAAAGACTTCTTGTCCCACACAGTTGTCAGTAGTTTAACCAGGAACACAGATTTCTAGTTGTAATGTTTGTTTCTTCCTGTAGTAAAAAGAATGTCATAATAAAAGATGAAGCCTATAAAGAAAAATAATGTCCATTTAATGGCAAAGAGTAATGCGCAAAGACAACTTAGCATTTATTTTATTGAAAGACAAAATTGAATCTCTTGTACAAATGACCAGGTTACTACAATAAAAATAAAAATTCAGAACTGGATGAAGAAAGTTGTTTGTGTAAATTATGAATTATATGGCATTTTTGTTTTGGTTTGGTTTTTAGTTTGGGAGCCGCCCCACCAGTGCTCAGAGGTTATTCCTGACTCTGTGCTCAGAAATCATTCCTGATGGGCTTAGGGGATGAAATACAGGATATGGGGAATCACACCCAGGTTGGCCACAAGCAAGGCAAGCACCCTACCCTACTGCACATTCACTCGAGCTCCTTTTTGCCAATTTAAGTTTCATTTAAATTTCACAAAAAGCATTTTCATTTGTAGTGAATAAAGAGCTTCATTAGGCATTCTTTCTGATCTTGGGGGAACGTTGCAAATTTTTATGTTTGGGTTAAAAAGTGAAAACTCTACTGTCAATTTTAAAATTTCTTCACCGTAAGATGTGATGATTCTTGATTCTCTTGATCTCATCCCTTGTTCTCTGGTGTGCTGTTCATTTCTTTTCGGTCTTTCTTCCATTCGTTTTCATCATAGAACTCATTAATTTTTCTTCAGTTGTTACCACTCGCGATTGAGGACTTACATCGAGTTTTCTATTTCATCCACCATACTCTTCAGATTGTAGCTTCTCATATATGCTGTCATGCTTTCTTGTTCTTGTATCGTTCTTTCTTTGAGCGAAGTAAATATCCACATCACAGTGTCCCTAAGGTCTTTAGCTGAGAGATTGTAGAGTGGGTTGGTGCTGGGAGAGTCATCTCAGCTTGGTGGGATTTTATGTAGCTTCCCCTCTGTGCCTGCTGCCTCCACTAAGAGTCTCATCTGTTAGGATGCTCACCTGGGAATTGGCAGTGTTGAAGTTATGGCATGATGAAAAATGGCAGGCAGATGCTGACACCCGGGCTTCTCTGGGGGCAGGGCTGAGCTGGAAGGCTTTCAGTTGGGGTTTTCTCTCCTCGCTCTAGGCTGCCCTTGCTAGAATTCTGGTCCATTTGGAGCACTCCTTATTGTTAGATTTGAGATTCTTGATCTCTCAGCAAGGAAACACACTTAGCCAAATTTTCCCCAAGTCTTGAAAGTATTAAACTGTACCATTTTCTTGACAGGATGCCTAACATCTCTACTTAACAACCATTCACATACTTCCGACACCAATGAAAGTAAACACTTCCACCATATATTCAGGAATTTGTATTCTCAGAACAATGTTACCAGGGATGCAGTAAAGAAATAACCTAGTTGTAAATATTCGCGGTCATCTTTTTTCATTTCCAGCTGAAGCACCTAAGTTAAGAAAACATTAGGAAAATGTGTATTCTCTTAAGGATAAGCTAACATTTTCATCAGAGATTGATCAGGAAAACAGCCACTTGGTGGCGTCGTAAGCCGAAAGGGTTTTAAAGAGGAAAATTGGAAGCTTCCACCAGCCTTGGCTATGCCAATCAGAAAAGCTGCTCCTCAGTACTGCTGCTGAGTGGTACTCAGAAGCCTGTGACTTTGGGAATATGAAGAGGCGTTCCCATTGCCTCCATCCACAGATATGATTCCAGTGAGTCTCAAGTAACCATCGCCAGCTGTCTCAGCTGCTGATAGCTCTGAAGCAGGTGACCGACAAGAGATTTTGAAATTGCTGCAGAACCACAGTGTGGTCTTTTTCCCATGCTGCAAAAATGAACAAAGAAGGGCTGTTGCTTTCCTCTACCTTCCAAATCTCATGGAAATACTCTTCATTGGGTCACTCTGACATTGGATGAAGACTTGAGAGAAATGCTAGCACACCTAATTTCTAACTTCCCCGAAATGAAGAAGGTACTATATGGAAGCAGGATGTATGGCAATAGGACAACCTAGCACTACAGAGAAACACTGATAACACAGGGTTTAAATCACAGCCTCCCATTAGGGATTATTTGATGAAAGAAATTTTAAAGTACCACCTCTAAATGATAACCAATTCAAATTTCCAAACCAGAATTAAATCTGTATATTCTAAGACTCTAGGGCCTCCACCTCACAATTCTCTTCCTGCCACCACATCTGCACAAGAAATATTTACTGATTCAATTTGGTACTTGCTTTGTGCCAGACAGTTTTATAACTGGGCATTTGGAAGAATATATACAATATAGATATAAAGAGTATAAATACAAAGAATATAAATAATAAATATAAAAGAGAACTGGGATAACATGGCTCCTGTCTTTGGGAAGCATACATTTTGGCTTTCAGTTATTTATAAAAGCAATGTGTTAAAAGAAAATAGGAGGGAGTCTTCAAACAAAAAATAGGAATGAGGGTGGATTTGCCATGCCTCAGACCATCTTACAGCTGTATACAGTTAACTCCTGTTTTTCGTATTTGTCCAAATAATTTGATTTCTTTTTTTCTTAAGAGATTATTCAAAAATTGATAGTTTCTGGGGCTGGAGCAATAACACAGCGGGTAGGGCGTTTGCCTTGTACACGGTCGACCTGGGTTTGATTCCCAGCATCCCATATAGTCCCCTAAGCACCGCCAGGAGTAATTCCTGAGTTCAGAGCCAGTAGCAACCCCTGTGCATTGCCGGGTGTGACCCAAAAAAGCAAAAAAAAAAAAAAAGTTTTTTTCTAAGGAGTATCTAATTTAAAACCAATTTAAAAGTTATCTGTAATATCTCCTAAAGGAAGCTGCTTTTGGTGTTTAAATTCATAGGGCACTCTTACTCTCAGCACTGGTTATTTTCAGGACGTTCATTAAATTATTGCCCTAATGAAGAGCAGAACATCGGAAAGAGACAAAGCTAAGATTTGAAATCTATTTTCGGAATTTACTCAAAGCCATTGCAATAAGTATGTTCTTGGTAACTTTTTCCTTAATGTTTTTAATTTAACCCTCCCTATCCCCGTGCAAATCTTTTTCTTTTCTTTTATTTCTTTTTTTTTTTTTGCAGAGGGTTAATGGATAAAGCACACCCTCCTGGTGACTCATGTTAAGTCATTTTCTTAAGCTTCAAAGGCTGTATCAATACTTCAGTTTTAATTCTATGTTTTGGCATTCATTTGATTGACATGAAAAGCATGTAATATCTTATTTTCCCCCTAAGTCATCCTAATTTTAAATACAGGAATAGAACTGACATACTAAATAGTTTTTGTAGACTCTGTTGCTTCTGGCAGGTTCTTAAGAGGTTGGTCACTTAATTACTCAGCGTGGGATTCCTGTAGAGCTTGTGTAGTGATGGCATTTCTGCTTAAAATGTAAGTGGTGGAAGGCAAAACCAAATTTCCTGTGCTGTCCTTCCATCTATGACACCCCTACTTGTTCTAGAGAGAGTCTGCTAAAACTGAACAGAATCTTTAAATAAACTTGAAAGGGCATTAATTCCCACTTTGGCCAACCCAAAGTACAATTTTTTAAGTGTTTACTGTAAGTACTGCTCAATAGCAGTTGCTAACTCCAAAACCTAGGTAGCATGGGTAGGAAACTTTAAAATGCACTTATTTAGTCCCAGCAATGATTTCATGATACTTAAGTTTCAAATACCTTTTTTTTAAAGTTTATATTAACTAGATCAGATTAAAACCAGATTAGAATCATGAGAACTAAATTTTCATCTCTGAAAATTAGAGTTAGCCTGAGTGATATTCAAGCTTCCAGTAACTTGTACAGTTAGGGATTGGATTGCAAAAAGTTTTAAGGTCAGAGCTAATCTTTTTTGTCAATAATTATTCGAAAATTAAATTTAGTATATAACATATACTAAACTATAATTTAATATATGATATATCATTTTAATATATGATATATCATTTTAATATATGATATATCATTTTAATATATGATATATCATTTTATTATCTTTCTAATCCTAGATGATAATGTTAAAAGCATTTAAAAGCATTTTCAGGGACTCTGCTTGTCTTTGACCTGTTTCCAATGCCAAATTTCCAGTTTGAGTCTTCCTGAAGTCTAGTTAGCAAGATTTTCTCAATTATTATGTTTTTCTGGGGTATTTTTCAAAACATAGCACTGTCACCCCATTGTTCATCGATTTTGCTTGAGTGGGCGCCAGGAACGTCTCCATTGTGAGACTTGTTACTGTTTTTGACATATAGAATACGTCGCAGTTAGCTTGCCAGGCTCTGCCTTGGGCGCAGGATACTCTTGGTAGCTTGCCGAGCTCTCCGAAAAGGACGGAGGAATTGAACCCGGGTCAGCCACATGCAAGGCAAATTCCCTACCCACTGTGCTATCACTCCCAAGACATAGTAAGATAAATATTATTTAAATTAGTTCTCACAGATGCGAGAGTACATTATTCTAAATTAGATCTACACTGATACCTGTCTTTTGTTTATGATTTTTTGTTGTATTTTGGGAATATTTTATATTGTATTAAACTTTGCATTTAAATGAAAGAAAGAATCCAGAGTTCTGACATCCGTCGACGATCAAGAATCAGGGACGCTGTCTCATTTGCCAAGGTGTCGAAAATCAGATGGACTGGTCACGTAATGAGATTTAAAGACGACCGCTGGACTAGAGCTGTTACCGACTAGATTCCACGGGATGTCAAAAGACTGCGTGGCCGCCCACCTACCAGATGGTCAGACTTCTTCATGAAGATCATGAACGATCAGTTTGAGGCACTTCATGTTCCCGGAGCGAACAGATGCCATTGGGCTACACTAGCACGCGACAGAGACAAATGGAGACGTTACTGGTGCACGCTCGAGCAAATTGACGACTAATGGGAAGTTAAGTGATTAAGTGAAACTTTGCAAGTCTGGGATAAAACAACTAGCTAATTTTTTTTTCTTTTTGGGTCACACCCGGCGATGCACAGGGGTTACTCCTGGCTCTGCACTCATGAATCACTCCTGGCAGTGCTCAGGGAACCATATGGGATGCTGGGAATCGAACCCGAGTCAGCCGTGTGCAAGGCCATGTGCAATAGCATGCCCTGCCCTCTGTGCTATTGCTCCAGCCCCAGCTAATATTTTCTAATGACAAGAATATATTTCAAAACAAGAGTCTTTTCACTATTAAGTATAAAATATTTTAATGTCACTAAATTGTTTTGTTGTTTGGTTTTGGAGTTACATCCAGCAATGCTCTGGGCTTACTCCTGGTGGTATTCAGGAGACCATACATGGTGCCAGTAATGGAACTGAGGCTGATTGCATACAGGTCAGCACCTTTCCCACTGTACTAGCTCTTAATTTTTTTAAACTTTTATTTTGAAATAAGTAGTTTAGCTACCTTTGTATGAAACGGTAAAGAGATCTCTTTCCTGTACCTTTTACTTAGTTACTCTCCTCTTTGCTATCCATAACTGCATCTTGCAAAACTATAGCACAGCATCACAATCAGGATATCGGTATTGATATAATTGTTCCATTAAGAAATTTCCCAATACCTGACCAGAGCAATAGTACAGCAGAAAGGGTGCTTGCCTTGCATGTGGCCAACCAAGGTTCAGTACCTCGCATCCCATATGGTCCTTCAAGGGCTGTCAGGAGAAATTTCTGAGTGCAGAGCCAGGAATAACCCCTGAGCATCACTAAGGGTGACTCAAAGCAAAACAAGAAAAAGAGTATTTGTCAACACAATTCTATAACTTTTAATGTTACATAGTGTATAACCTTTTTGGGTTAGCTTTTTTTTTTTCATGCGACATAATTATCCGACAGTTTAACTATGATGTTATAAGTTTTAAGTATACCAATACTATTTTTAATGTTGCGTGGTTTTCCCAGGCATGTATGGTGAAATTGACGTATAAAAGCTCCAATAAATGAAGTCAGGAGACTAGAAGAGAGTGGCCTCGCATGGCAATCAGCAAAGTACAGGATTCAATTTACCTTGCATCTGGCAATGGGAAGTATTTCCTCACCCAGCTAAGGAAGAAGGAGGCAGTTTTTTCTATACTGAAGATGTCATGGAAAGCTGGTGCTGGAAGCAGAAAGGGACATGTCTGGCCATGAGACTACTTTCCAAATTGCTTTAGATTCGTTCCTGAAAAAATAATTGTTGGTTGAACTGTCACTGTCACTGTCCTCCCGTTGTTCATCAGTTTGCTCGAGCAGGCCCAGTAACATCTCCATTATGACACTTGTTACTGTGTTTGGCATATTATTTTTTAATTTGAGTTCAGTACATTCTGTGGGTGACCTGTATAGAAGTCTGAAGACCTCCCGCTAACAACTGAGCAACTGAAGTTGGTGGGAAAGTGGGGCTCGGTGCTCAGACTGGGTTAGCTGTCCCAGATCCTGGAGTCTTAGGGTAAATCAGGAAACATCTTGATCTGAGATGAACTGCTAAGCATTGATTTCTCCAGAGATATCATTTGGGAATTATTTCTATTTCATGACATGTTTTATCTGGGGACACCACTCTCAGTATGTGAATCGGTCCGTTGAGGAATCAGGCTATTCCACTGGAGCTGCATCAGTGTTTAGCAGTTTGTTGTTTTTAAATTTGGAAGCTCTCATAGAGCTGTATTGGCCTTCAGACAAATTCTTTGGAGATAAACTTCCCAACCGGAGTTATTGTCAATATTGAGCCTCTGGATTTACATTCAACCTGATTGTATACTGGGAAAGGGCTATTTCATTAGAATTGTGCGGTTTTTCTAAGTACTCTGTGGTTTTCAACTCAGTTTCCTTTTGGAGACCATTGAGAAGATCCTGTTTTGATAAAAGTGAAATGAGATCCTAGGTGACTGACTAAATGTGTAAGGAACATCCCTCCTTCTGAAGCTCCTACAGGCTTAGATTTTCAGGACTATGTGCTTTTCGTGCACATTTCTAACTGAGTAGACTGAAGCAATTAAATGTAGCATCTCAGTGACCTTTATGGGAAACTGTGACACTCACATTTTCTCTTCTTAAAGCAGAATTGAGTAGCCATTGCTTTGAAATAGATAAAACTGAATAAAATATATCACTTAGTATCTGGGAATCTCCAAAACTTGTCGACTATGAAATTGCCTACTTGTGAAGAAGTCTTTTAAGTTAAAAGAGACACACAAAATTTAAGGAAAAATAAGTTCCCTTCCAAGATTCTCCCTTAGTAACTCAGTATGGGAGATATCCATCCCATTTCCTCAGGAAAACTGCTTCTTTCCAAGTCTCCTCCAGATCCTTCCCCCTCCACACATAAAACTTTCCCATTCAAGTTTTATCCTTCTGAAGATGCAAACAAACCTCAGCTCTTTTATCTTCCTGCAATTTGATTTAGATCAAATTGTAAATCATAGTTAAAACTTCTGAAAGTAACTGAAGACACTTGTAGGTTTTGTTTTTTCATGGTCAATAAAAAAGTATTTATTTCATTTAAAAATACTTTTCAATAACATTTTCTTACACAGATGAAAATGCACACATAGAACTTATTTATAACAACAAACTTTAGTACTTGTAATACTTCTGAATTGGGGGAGAGAGGATCTATGAGGTAGACAGAAGGTAAAGGGAGAAGACAGTGCCTTGCGGTCTGGCCTCAGGCAACAAATGGCTGGAGGGCATGGAACCCAGAGAGAAGCCCAAGAAAGCATCTGTTTGTGTCCTCTAGTTTGAGGATGAGGTTCAGCTTCATTCATGGAAGGAGATCTTAGAGGCTTCTTTACGAAGAGCACTGGCATTCTCTGGTGTTTTCTCAGCATTCTTTGGGCTACCATGAAACTAGTGGCTCTAGACATCTCAGTGCTCATGGTTCTAGATATCTCACAGCTCATGGTTCTAGTTATCTCATAGCTAGTGGCTTTGAGCGGACAAATGATCAGTGAGTTGACAGCTTTCCAAAATCCATGCACAAACCAACAGTGATGGGTAAAAAGACAGATATAGAGAGGATCTTCTCCCCACCCATTCTGAGGATTCAGGTTTCTTCTCAGAGGGCAGAGAGAAACAACTGGATGCCTGCATTTCCTTTACATTAAATGGTTATTCCAGAGAAAGTGCAGGAACCTATCAACTCTTCCAAAGAAAAATATGACAAAATGAGCCAATGCATCTCTGCCTTCTTGTTGAAGATCCTTATGAACCATACTACAATTGATTGTGTCCCCAATGTTTCTTAGCTGCATGGCCAACTTGGGGATTATTTCTTTCTGATTATGGTTCTGCCCAATGCTATTATTCTTGGACTGAGAAAGTAGGTTGTGATCTGGTTTTCTTGCCATGGCCGAAAGTGACTGGTTGCTGACAAGTCTGGTCGTGTATGCTTTCTGAAAACTGTTTTACCCACAGTAGTCTGAAACAATTCATTACTTTGGAAGAGGGATTCAGAACTTCTTTAGGTTGATAAACAATGACGTCATGTTTTTTTCTTCTTTTTCCCTCTGCATCTGCCCTTGGCAGTGGAGTCTATGACAATCCACTGAGGGCCAAAGCAATAGTACAGTGGGTAGGCATTTGTCGACCTGGGTTCGATCCACGGCATGTCATATGGTACCCCCAAGCACTGCCATGAGTAATTCCCAAGTACAGAGTCAGAAGTTGACACTTGTAGATTTACTGAAGAATTTGACAAAGTTATGCAAAAATGATCAACCTAGCTTTTTTTTCTGATTTCTAAGAGTAAATTCAAATACTTCTTTGTTGAGGATCAAGCCAAAAACCAGATAAAACCAGATTAGAACATCCTGATGAAATATTTAGATAAACAAAACCCTAACTTCTGGCAGGAACCCTAGGAAAATGGCTGATAGTTCTCAAAATGATTTCACAAGCTTTTTCTGAACTTATTGATTGTAATAAAGTATAGCCTTGCACCTAAGAATTGGAAGGAACTGTTTCTGATTATAACTGCTTCAAATTGTTTAAATAATAATAGTTCCAGGAGTCAGGAATATAGTAGAGGGTTAAGGCTCATGATGTGTCTGTAGCAGACCACAGTTTGATATCAGAAGCACGTGGATCCACCTTTGTCAGCTGGTGCCAGACAATAGAACCCCAAGTACCAGAAGGGTGACCTGGGATTCCTGGTACTACAAGAGCCAAACAGCACTCAGCCTTCACATTGACCTGCTGGTCCAGTTGAGTGAGAATTGCCAAAAGAGCCTCCAGGGCCTCATGAGGATTGAGGAAACCAAATTTAAAAAGTTTAGGAGTCCATAGTGACAGTGTAGTGGGTAGGGTAGGTATTTGCCATGCCACCTGGGTTTGAACCCCCTGATAACCCCCACCCTAGCCTTCCAGGAATGATCCCTGAGCACAGAGCCAGGATTAAGTCCTGAGTATCACTGGGTATGGCCCCAAATCCAAAATAAATAAATAAATTATAAATAAATTCCAAGTCTACCTGCCAGTACAAAATCATCCAGACCAACCTGCATTTAACTCTGTGTTTCTTGGCTAAGATAACCAGAATAGCTGGGAAATTTTGTCCATTCTAGGTCTGCTTAATTCAAATAAATCAACTTGCTTTGACTCTAGAGGAGTCATTTAAAGAAAGATTAGAGTCCAGAACAATAGCACAGCAGGTAAGGTGTTTGCCTTACAAGCAGCTGAACTAATTCTATTCCCAACATCCCATATGGACCCCCAAGCCTGCCAGAAACTCAGAACTCAGAGCCAGGAGTAAGCCCTGCCTGAGCATCACCAGGCATGGCTGCAAAATAAACAGACCTTTTTCTAAAAAAGAAAGATTTCAAAGATCCTTAATCTTCAGCCTTGACAAACCAAGATTCACACATAGCCTAGTCTTCTCTCTCTTCTCTCCCTGCCTCTCTGTGTCTCTGTTTCTGTCTCCTCTCTCTCTCTCTCTCTCTCTCTCTCTCTCTCTCTCTCTCTCTCTGTTTGCCTAGTCTTTTTATTTTTTTCTGGTGGGGCCTCCCAGCAGTACTTAGCAGAGCCCTTCTGGCAATTCTTTGCCCACCAGGTGAACTATTCTATGTGAGAGCCCTTGGGGTCAATGCTAGAAATTACCCAGACCACCTGGTAGAGTTTGAGAACCACCAATGCTGCACCCAGTGGTGTGGTGGAATTGTGCAGTGATCTGGTTTCAGTTATACAGTGTTCCAATACCCATCCTCTCTCTGCCAGTGTATGCATTTCCTACCACAAATGCTTTAGTTTCCCTCCCACCAACCCCCTTTGCAGCCTGCCTCTATAGGAGGCACTTTCTCTCTCTCTCTCTCTCTCTCTCTCTCTCTCTCTCTCTCTCTCTCTCTCTCTCTCTCTCTCTCCCCTCTCTCTCTTTCTCTCTCCTATCTCCCTCTTCTTTCTCTTTCTCTCTGTCTCCTTTTGGGAATTATGGTTTGCAAATACAGATACTGAGAGGTTATCATGTTCACTCCTTTATATACTTTCAGCACACAGTTCTTATCCAGAGTGATCATTTCCAACTATCTTTGTCATAGTGTTTCCTTCTCTATTCCAAATTTCTTCTCCCCCAGTACTTGAAGCAGGCTTCCAACTATGGACCAATCCTCTTGACACTTGTTCCTACTGTTCCTGGGTAGTATTAGTCTAATATTATGATTTTTATATGTCCCACAAATGAATGCAATAATTCTATGTCTTCCCCTCTTTTTCTGACACAGTTCACTCAGCATGATACTCTCCAGGTCCATTCATTTATAAGCAAATTTCTACTACTTTGTGTAGTATTTCATTGTGCAGATGTACCATAGTTTCTTTAACCAGTCATCTCTTCTTGGGAGCTTGGGTTGTTTCCAGATTCTGGCTATTGTGAATAGTGTTGCAGTTAACATAGAAGTGCAGTTGGCATTTCTGCTGTGTGTTTTGGGGCCCCCTGGGGTATATTTCCAGAAGTGGTAATGCTGGGTATGGAAGTTCAGTTTTCTTTTTGAGGAATGCCCAGATTGTTTCCCTAAAAGGCTGGACCAGTCAGCATTTCCACTAACAATGGAGAGTCCCTTTCTCCCCACATCCATGCCAGCACTGGTTGCTCTTGTTCTTTTTGGTGTGTGCCAGTTTCTGTGGTGTAAGATGATATTTCATTATTGTTTTGATTTGCATCTCCCTGATTATTAGTGATGTAGAGCATTTTTCCATTTGTATTTCTTTTTCAAGGAAATTTCTGTTCATTTTTTCTCCCCATTTTTAATAGGGTTGGATGTTTCTTTTTTTTTTTGCTTTTTGGGTCACACCCGGCAATGCACAGGAGTTACTCCTGCAGTGCTCAGGGGACCATATGGGATGCTGGGAATCCAACCCGGGTCGGCCGCGTGCAAGGCAAACGCCCTAGCCGCTGTGCTATCTCTCCAGCCCCTCTTGTGAAGTTTCTACCAGTGCCTTATATATCTTGGATATTAACCCTTTATCAGGTGGGTATAAGGAAAATATTTTTTCCAATGTGTGGGCTGTTTTCTGTATCTTGGTCATTGTTTCTTTTCAGATGCAGAAGCTTCTGGTTAGTTTAAGGTAGTCCCATTTCTTTATCTTTGCTTCCACTTGCTTGGTCAGTGGTGTTTCATCTTTGAAGAAAGGCATGCATCTTAAACCCTGTTCTATCTCTCTGGCTCCAATAGCCTAGGTTTTGTTACTACTGTAAAAATCAGGACATTGCCTTAAAGTATTCCAAACTTTTGCAGCTTTCCTAAGTGACTCTTTAAAGACTTTAAATTCCAAGTTATAGGGCTTCCAGGAGAAAAGAAAGGAAAGGGGAGAGGCTTTTCCCAGTTCTCACTTATCAGCTCATGAGACAGCTCTCAGGATGAGAAAAACATCTGTCTTATTGAGATAGCCATACTTGAGACACTTAACCCCATGACTATATATTATAAACAACCTTCTATTCAAAGTACAAAGCAGTTCAAATAATGGTTTTATTAAACTCCAAAGAGTTCCTGTCTCTGAACCTATTCCTTTTTGTTTGGGCCCCCAGGGCATCAGTTTTTTCTTTGCCCCTTTGCCCACATAGATTTAATATGTTGATAGTTCTTTGGAGAGCTGACTGATCCCACAGTCAAAAATAGTTTCAGCTCAATGATCTCTTGATAAATATGCTAAGATACATTTTAATAATTGTAGAACCTTTGATCATTTACTTGCTGAGCATGGTGGTACCGTGTGATAGCAGTATCACCTGTTGCACATGGATAAATGCCTCAATAGATACTTAATTATGTGAAATTATGAATCAAGTGTGTATGTTAAAAGTTGCAGTGAATAACCCTTGGTCTTTTGATCTAATTAGCCAGCTGTGTTTGGGTTCAGTTTCTGAGTTGGTATCATGCAAACTGGATATGTAAAATTATTTAATTATGCTCTAAATAGTTATTATTAGGCTCACACTTGTTGTCAATAAAGCTTGTGTATCATCAAGGAGATAATACAGTCATCGGTAGGGCATTTGCCTTGCGCATGGGTTTGATCAATGACACTACATATGGTCTCCTAAGCCTGCCAGGAGTAATCTCTGAGCACAGAGCCAGGAGTAAGCCCTGATTACCACTAGGTATGATCCAAATACAAAAGCAAAAAAACTTGTGTAGGAACAAGAACATAATGGTGATAGAGAATTAGTGCTTCAAGAACATCTGCATGGTTTACAGTACCAACAAAATGTAGATTTAAGCAATGTCTGAACCGTTTTGTACCCACCTTGTTGCTTATATATTTGTGACTTCACTAGATTCCTAATCTGTGCATTTCTCTCCATGAGACACAATTCCAGAGAAGGGTCCTTCCTAATACCAAGGGACAAAAGGCCACTTAATGGGTTTGGGATAAATCTAGACCTTGTTCAACAATGCTTTCAGAGAAAGATGTGTTTTGAATTTATTTTGCATAATTTGTGAGACTTGGATTTACCTACTTTTTTTGCCATGAGATATCCAATTGTTCTTATAGAATATCTTTGGTTGAGCTTTTTAACCTCCTTTGAATTGTTTTTGCTTCTTTTTAAAAAAAAAAACAACAACATTGAATTAATGGAGAAACGGTCACACTGGTGATTGGATTGATGGTGGAATATTGAATGCCAGTAATGAAAGCATCATGAACAAATTTGTAAACCACAGTGTTTAAATAAAGGGAAAATATTGTTTAAAAAAACACTCTGACAAAGTCCACAAAGATAGTATAAGGGTTAGGTCATTTGCCTTAAATGTGGCTAACCAAGATTTTGTATAATTTCCCAATCACTGCCAGAGAACAGAGTCAGAAATAGTTTCTGAGCATGGCATAAAGTTGTCCCAAATCTGTCCTCCACCTAAACAAGAGAAGAAAATGTTATGGCCAAAAACTTATAACAATAAAAATGTAACAAACAAACAAACACTGTCCTCCCATTGTTCATGAATTTGCTCTAGCGGGACCAGTAATGTCTCCATTTTGAGACTTGGCATATTGAATAGGTCACAGGGAGCTTGCCAGGCTTCGCTGTGCATGCAAGA